TCTTAAAAGTTGTCCTTGTGAATCATTATGTCCTGTTTTGAATGATTAATCACATTTCAGTTCCGTATCCTGCCTTAATCACATCCTCCCTTTGTGACATCCTCCCTGAGTGAATTATATCCTTCCTTTGTAACAAATCCCTCCCTCCCTAAAAAAGAGAATAAAAGGCTGAGATAGAGTAAGTTTTGCATGCAATGCTATGCAATGCTGTGCAATGCTGTGCAATGCTAGGAAAAATGTTTGCAGATCTGTCTACCTGCCAGCTTGCATCATATCTGTGTGTCTGTCTTTTTGTATATATTTCATCTCTCTCTTTCTCTATCACTTTCGCCGCCAGATCTCCCTTCTTTGTGACACCCACACTTCCTTGTCGAGGCGGGACCCTGACATAGGACCTCGACAACACACAATGTAATACTCCACAATATTAAAGAATAATGATGACTCTGTGAAGTACCTCATAACATGAAGAACCTAGAGGACATGATACTAAGTGAAATTAGTCAATCACAGAAGGGCAAATATTGCACAAGAGCACTACCGTAAAAAGTCAAGAAAAGATTTTCACACTAAAAGAAACTTTCTTTGATGGTGACCAGGGATGGAAGAGGAAAGAAGGCTAAGTTACTGACTTTTAAAACGTATACACATGTTAACTTGAGTCACAGAGAAGGTAACAGACAATTAGAGGAAATTGGCAGAGAAAATGATGGCGACAAGTGAAGATGCTGGTAGGAAAGTAAGTGTTAAAGGCAACAGCAGTAATTACTGTTATATAGACAACCCTGCAGTGATGACGATCTACAACTATATTGATGGATAGACATATAAGCTGAATGGGTATGGAGGGAAACTTGGAGTATATCCGCAAATACCTATAGGTTTGACAGAGGATATTTGTAAATGATTACTTAACTTTGTTGTAAATACAGCCCTGAGTATAGTAGAGCATCACTTCTTCCATGGAAGCAGCAATCAAGAACTCAAACGATGTCTTGCATTAGACAAATCTGCTGCACAAGACCTTTTTAAAGTATTAAAGAGCAAAGATGTCAGTTTGAGGACTAAGGTGCGCTTGGCTCAAGCCATGGTATTTTCAGTAACCTCATGTGTAGTGGTTATGAATCAGACTGCTAATCTCAGGATCAGCAGTTTGAAACTACCAGCTGTTCCACAGGAGAAAGATGAGGCTTTTTGCTCCTGTAAAGATTTACAGCCATGGAAACTCTGTACAGGGTCGCTATGAGTCGGAACTGACTCCACGGCACATAACAATAGCAACAACATACAAAAGTGGTGAGGATTTTTGTTTTCTTTACATTGAGATGCAATCCATACTGAAAGCATTGCATCTTCATCAGTAAATATTTTAAGTCCTCTTCACTTTCAGCAAGCAAGGTTGTATCATCTGCATATTGCAGGTTGTTAATGAGTCTTTCTCCAATCCTGATGCCACGTTTTTCTTCATATAACCCAGCTTCTCAGTTTACTTGCTCAGCATACATGTTGAATAAGTATGGTGAAATAATACAACCCTGTCACACACCTTTCTTAATTTTAAACCATTCAGTAGCATTCTTATCAACAGAGAAAAGATTGAAGTTGTCAAGGACTTCATTCTTCTTGGATCAACTATCAACACTCACAGAAGCAGCAGTCAAGAGATGTTTTGCATTAGGCAAATCTGCTACACAAGACCTTTTTAAAGTGTTGAAGATCAAAGATGTCAGCTTGAGGATTAAGGTGTGCCTGACCCAAGCCATGGTATTTTCAATAACCTCATATGCATGTGAAAGTTGGACAGTGAATAAGGAAAACCGTAGAAGAATTGATGCATTTGAGTTATGGTGTTGGAGGAGAATATTGAAAGTGCCATGGGCTGCCAAAAGAACCAATAGATTTGTGTTGGTAGAGGTATAGCCAGAGTGCTCCTTGGAGGCCAGGATGGCCAAACTTCGTCTCTCATACTTTGGACATATTGTGAGGAGGGACCAGTCCCTGCAGAAGGATATCATATTTGGTAAGATGGAGAGTCAGAGAAAAAGAGGAAGATCCCCAGCGAGATGGATTGGCCAAGTAGCAGCATCAATGGGCTCAAGCACGGCAACAATTGTGAGGTTGGCCCAGGACCAGGCAGTGTTTTGTTCTATTGTCCATAGGGTTGCTATGAGTTGGTACCAACTTGATGACACCTAACAACAACAACATCAAATGGTGGAGCATACCAGGGCAAAGATAGGAAGACGTTTTAGATATAACCAAATACCTTGAGAGAATGAGTTGCTGGGTGTGTGCATAACATAGTTCTACATCCTACTTTGGTTAGTAGCAACTGAGGTCTTAAAAGCTCATGAGTGGTCATGTGACATGCAACTATTGGTCTTCTCCTGTCTGGAAGAAAGAACAATGATGAAAATCAAAGATGCATGGAAATAATTAATCCAGTGGACTAATGGACCATGTGAACATAAGTCTCCACAACTCTGAGACCAGAAAAACTAGATGGTGCCCACCTACCACTACCAATTTCTCTTAAAACATGGAACAAAACTCAAAATCTTAAAACACACACCCACACCAGGGTTTGTGGTCAGTCAGAGTCTAGTGGAACCCGTAAGACATTGGTCCTTAGTCACCATTCAGGTCTGGAACTGAACTCACCCCTGTGACTCAATTTTCAGCCAAATAATAGACAGGTCTGGAGTCCTGGTGTGGCACTGTATAAAGCACTGGAACACAAGGCTGGTTTGAACCACAAGGTCCGGCGGTTCAAGCTCCCCAACCGGTCCTTGGGAACCCTTTACAGGGTCGATATGAATTGGAACTGACTCAATGCCACTTAACAACAACAATAGACAAGTCTATAAGGGAACAATAACATTATGGAAGTATGCATTCTTAGAACAATCAACTATCTGAGATAAAAACAGCTACCCAAAGTACAAAATTTAGAAAGTTTGGGAAACAAAGAGGAACAGAATCATGAAACACAGAGAGGAAGTGGGATAAGTTGTATTACATTGTTGGGATTGTGATCAATGAGATGAAATAAAATGGGTATGAATTGTTAAATGGAATTTAAATTGTAATTCTTCACCCAATTCACAATAAAAAGTTAATTTCTTTTCTTGCAGACACTTGTTGTTTGTAACTGTTGTTAAGTGCCATAAAGTTGGTTCTAACTCATAGCAACTCTGAATAGGGTTTCCAAGGAGTAGCTGGTGAGTTTGAACCACTGATCTTGCAGTTAGTAGTCCAGCACTTATCCTACAGCACTACATGAAGACTCCTAAACACTTGGAAGGATTTTAATATGAAGTAGCGTTTAGTTTTTAGAAACTTAGTCTGTGGCCTTGTAGTGTAGGGGAATGGGATGGAGAGGCATAGAGACAAAGAGACTGTCTTGATGGTCCAGGTGAGAGATGAGTTTCTAAACCAGGGAAGGGCAGTGGGGGTGAGGAATGAAAAACTATATAAAGCATGGAGACCCACTGGATAGTCATTTTCCATGGTAAGCCCTCCCTCCCTTTCTTCCTCCTTCCTTCCTTTGACAAATATTTGTGAAGCACCTAAGAATCAGGTAATGTTCTAGACATGGTGGGAATATCAATAAAGAAATCCTTGCCTCCATGGAGTGTACTTCTTGGTGGAAGAGACAAACAATAAAAAAATACACAAATGTGTGTAATAGAATGGCTGGTGGTCACTGTTTGACACAATATTTAAGGGTCCTAATTGAGATGCCATCATCCAAATGACTCTCAAGCTAGGTACCAGAGTCCTCAGGGATTCTACCCAGAGAAAAGAATCCGTACAGCGGAAGGAACTCTAGGCTGAGGTCAGGAGTTCTCGGCTTGAATTCTGATCCTGCCTCTGGCCATCAGGGTGGGCTCAGGTCACTTTATTTCCTCTCTGGGCCCTCAGTCTCCCTCTCTTGGTTGGTCTTGGTGATCTTTTAGGTGCCAGAATCTTGTATTTGAAGTTCCTACAAACCATCTTAGAGACTTTGACAAGCAAAACTATGTACAAAGTGAAGGGTCCTTCTTAAACTAGCCTGTTTTGTGTTAAAAAGCCTAGAGACCATCAATTTTGGTCTTTAACCCAATATAGGATCCCCTGTGAAGCACTTGTGATAGGTACCTGTTCATCCTCTGTGGACACCTTTTCAGGGATGGCGCAATTACTCTTTCCCAAGGAACCAATTTCATTTCCTCTTTCTCTCTCTTTTTAAAGGGAAAGGATCACACCTTTTACTAAAGGGAAGTGCCTTCCAACTGAGGATTTCAATTCAGATCCTGCTCCTTAAAGCTGCACGTGAAGGACAGGCCTGCAGTGACCTGGAGGCCAAAAGGCCTGAAGATAAATCTAGGGGTGGGAGGAGGGTGCAGTGGGAATTGGGAGTCTTGGGAAAAAAAACACTTGAGAATGCTGGGGAGGGGAGAGATGGGGTGACATCTCCTCTGCTGGGGTCATGTACCTGGCAGTCTTGATGTCTGCTGCTGAGGCAGTTGGAGCCAGATATCTTTTGACTTAAGAACTCAGTTATCCTGAGAATTCAAATCAGTAACATCAACATGGGAGCCGGACAGCAGATAAACTGAAGGGTTGGAAGGTGGGTGACCCTCTTGGAACCCCTCGTATTCTAAAGTCAGAGCACTTGACTCCTTACTCATTAAAGTCCAAAAAGAGGTGAGATAGTGCAGCCTATGTCGTATGTGTTGTGGTGTTGGAGGAGAATACTGAAAGTGCCATGGACTGCCAAAAGAACCAATAGATCTGTTTTGGAAGAAGTGCAGC